GGCTACAACATATGATGGACAGTCTATGAAAAAATTTTACATATGTAACCAAAGTCCCAGTACATCCAGGTTTGTGCCTATGAAGAGAGTAGAATTTCCCTTGTTACATTCAAACTAGTGTAGGATTTCGTGGCTAAAAGTTGACAACGATGTGTGGGACTCTAGTGACGGCCGTGTCACACGAGGAAGTAGCTTTGACTCCATCGTCACAGAGATTGTTTACAATATGTTTGGAACTATTTTAAGTGAAAATGCAAGTAAAGACGGGGAGAGGGAGGGGATGACAAGAATTATAAGCCTTTTGGTATATACCATAAAAAATAAAACGCACAATACCGTGACTGGAACAATACACAAATAACCCTCACCGAGGAGAAAGAAGCTTATGACGACGTTTCAGTCCGACTTGAATATATTCCATCGTCAGAAACTAGGCCACTCAGTGAACTGGCTAGGATTTAGCTAGGAATTCGAAGAACTGGAAAAAATGGGCACCACATTTCCTTCCGAAACATGGAAGTCTCCAAATAGAATGTATGAATGTTGACCCTCGTAGTGTCGGGCAAGGCAGCCGATTTGCCAGGTAGTGTGAGAAGGGTAAGAGACACGTCATTAAACTGAGTGTCCGTGTTTCTACTTTACCTCAAATCACGCACACAACCAGTGGGGAACGTACATTTTTGGGGCCCTGAAGCTTGAACTGTTATGAGGGCCCCATCACAACCTCTTCTCATACAGGAGACCCAAAAATTTTAAGCTATATGGACTAAAGTCGCTTCTGGTGCCCCTCCGGGATTAGGGGCCCCGAAGCTTAGGCTTCATAAGCTTCATAGTAGATCCGCCTCTGTGTGACACGATAATCTCTGCAAGGTTAAGGTGTGACGGTCACTCTTAGCCATCCCAGCACTCGGGGTTCTGCCCTCAGAAGAGACAAGTTTCTCGAGTTGTGAGATCATCATCATGGATAACACTTAAATGAAGACACCAGCCATATTTTGTTTAACAAAATCTGATATATCATCAGTGTTCTGTACCATATTCTATATGATCACTCGATGGGAACAAAAGATAGATATGTTTCACTGTCATTATTCCATCACGCAGGATGAGGCTCATACAAGGTGTTGAAATCTGTCAGCCTGAGCTGGGAGACTTCGGTAGGGCAACGAGAATATCGTCAAGCTTTCCAGCAAGGGTTCATCAGCTGCGGGAGCTTCAAAGGTTCCCTTCCAGCACAGCTGGAGTCTACCCCTTCCCTCACTTGGGAATTGTCATCGCTCAGGTTAGTTTACCCCTCTACACAAGTAAAATGGTACTGGCTACGGATCATTGTAGCTAACTTGCTACATCACTTGAGCGCTACAAGACCAGAAGTACCTCTGCCACAGGGCCACTTGTAGGACTACACTCGTCCATCCCAGGTCGGGGCGACCCCAAGATTTATTTACTGAGGGAGATTAGGGGGGCTAGCTGTTTGGATGAGGGGATAGGGGGAAAAGGGGATTTGCCTTTGCAGAGCAAGCACATTGTTATTTAGTATGTATATTACACATCAATTAAATCAGCAATGTTTTCTAAAGATGCTTTTATTCACACTATGTAAGTGTGCTTGTTGTTGTTATTGTTGTTGTAGATTCGCCGGTATCGTCGGCCGGCCCAGGCCTTTTCCAAGAGGTGGCCCGGCCTTGGCTCCCTGTCGTGGGAGTATCTCAAACAAATGTCTGTCATGGGAGGAGGCACAAGTACCTCATTGTCTGGGACCAGTTGTCCCCAGGCCCAGCCTCAGTCTCCACCCCCACGGGGCTCTGAGGGAGAAGCTAGGCACCTTGGGCTGCCTTGAATCCAACCTCACACTGGGCTCGAAGGGTGAGGCAGCTGCATAGCAGCAGACGATGTCAGGATGCGCAAAGGCAGCAAGCACTTAAGGATTCTTTTGAAGCCACACCCTAGCTTTGGGCCGAAGCCAGAGTGCTGGGATAGCTCAAGAATACCTCTTGTTGTGTGTGTTGCTGCTGCTGCTTCACTTGTTCGTTGCACGCTGTTTATATAGAAGAGTGCGAAACCAAATGCCCGTATCAAAAACTATAAACATTACCTGAAATTACATCAATATATAACTTGCTATCAGAATGTTGTGCAAGAAAGGTATAAAATACCGACAGTATGAAAGTTAAGACACATGTGCAACATCTGGATATCTTTATTGCTCCAGATTCTCCTCCACCACGATGCTGTGAACACTAACTCCAAGGCTGAGGGACTGATTACCTCATCTTTTGTATATAGTTCTACTGTCTTCCTTTTATGTCCTAGAATCTGTATTGATAAAGCCACTGGATGGCGAAACGTCTACAATAAAGATATCCAGATGTTGCACATGTGTCTTAACTTTCATGCTATCAGAATAATGGCTTTATTAATGTAATGATGTAGAGGAAGATAAAATATAAAAATATTAATCGTTAGACTCAAAAGTGTCGATATACTGGAAGAGCATAACAGATTCATTCTACTCTCAGATGAGACTCGGGGTAACGAAAAAGTTGTAATGAATGGTTTAGAAAACCGATAAGTTGAATAATTGAGACACTTATGCAACACATGGGAATCTTTATTGAAGAAACGTTTCGCCACACAGTGGTTTCATCAGTCTTATACAGATCAGAAAGGTATAAGGAGAGGAGGAGTTTGAGGTAATCAGTCCCTCAGCCTGGAGTCGATGTGTTCAGTCCATCAATCTTGTAGAAAGTACAGCACTGGGTCGTAGCAGTGGCCAATGTGTGGCGAAAAGTTCCTTCAATAAAGATTCCCATAAGTTGCATAAGTGTCTCAATTCTTCAACTAAAAAGTTGTAGCAGTGTTTTAGTGGCAAATATATCTACTAGTTACAGGTATCAGATAAACTAAATTCATTTCCTTTACATTAGATAAGATTTATATAACTTATACCATCATGTTGTTCGGTCTATTGCTTAGAATAGAGTAGAAGTCTGTTTTGATTTTACAAACAAAATGAGTGAATATCTAATTCGTAGAGAGAAGAGAGAGAGAGAGAGAGAGAGAGAGAGAGAGAAAGAGAGGAGGGGGAAGAGGAGCGACTTGAACAACGTCTGCTCCACACGATATAGCACCCACAACTATCACTACCAACACTATCCCTCAAAACACCACCTGACCTCACCCACAATTTAAACTGTGTATTGTTCCCTGTATTGAAATGAGAAAACTGATTGTTGACACGTATCATTAATAAATGTCCTAGATAATTTGTCTTTTTCTTACTTTCTAGCCGGTGTTATCACCATTTCTTACCTGAGAGAAAGAGAATCAAAATTAAATAATACAGGAGGACCCCGCTTTACAGAGCTTCGCTTTTCGGCATTTCGCCAACAGCAGTTTTCATTTATACTCATTCCTAATTTATTCCTACAATAAATCCCTTCAAGGGACGTTCCTTGATGTTGGTGAGGGGTTCTTGATCATGGGAATTGGATCTGTTCTCCACTTTCCTGAATTATGCCTGAATGCCTTCTATCTCCTCCCACAGGCGCTGTATAATCCCTACATTAAATATACTCACCATTCATTATAAGCTAAGGGTGGAAATATTTTAAGGTCTAGCTTTATTGCTCACTTAACGTATGACAGTGTAAACATGTTATCAAGCTTTTATATTCATTTGAAAGTGAAAAAAAAGTTTCAATTTACAGCGATTTTTGCTTTAGAGCTGTAACCCAGAACCTAACCTGCTGTATAAGCGGGGCCCTCCTGTACTAATATTACACTGTTATCCAACGATGATAATCAGTTTTTATATTCATCGTCAGAGGGAATGATCAGAAATATCATAATTTCTCTTGCATATGTGCCGTCAGGGCCTTAAATAAAACATATTGGACTAATATTACATTCACAAATCGACAACTTGTTTTATCAATTAAGGTCTCTTTTAAATTGCTAATTGAGTAAATAGTGTTTACTACCTTGAGGAGTTACCCCACGTCTCCACTGGTTCTAACTCGTCTGATCTTCTATGTGGCCAACTGCATTTCAACTTGAACATCATTATTGTTCCTTCGGTAGTCAGGGACGGTTCATCCTCTGATCAAGACTCGTGTCAGAACGTTGTTAGTAATATAATATCAGCCATTAACCACCTGGCTTGAAGTCTCTAGATAAATTTTGAGTACCCTTTAGTACATGGAACTGGTTAAATTATCTTCGTCAAGGAGTACAAGATTATTAATATATAGCAGCAGGATTAAGTGTGTTTACAACACTTACAAGTGCTTTTCGTGCTGATGATTGTTGCTCAGTCCTAAATTTTGCTCGTGAAACAAAACACCAGGCAGACAAAGCATTCAAACTATACTGTAGCTAACATAAGTAGGTGTCAAGAGAGTAATGCTCTTCTTTAACAGACATAACTATCCCGTACATCTGGATAGACCATTATTAATTACTAATAGTTTCACCTGGATAGTAATACAACAGTCATGCTTAATTTTAAGTTCACCTGATAAAAACTTCCTTTCACCATAAATCGCATATAAATAAAGGATTTAATGCAAGAGACATTTACCTTAATGTAGAATTATTGCTTGAATATTGCGCTCGAGGTTACTGTGCAACAGTATTTTGTAAAAGTTACGCAACCTTGATGCTTGTTCTTATGTAGCGTCTTAAGTGTTCATGTCCATTCTCTTGTGGATCCCCTCGTACTTTATATACTCTATATGACAATGTTGCAGTGAAAGATATTGTGAAGTGTTATTTTGCTACTTATTTTGCATTTATATAATATTCCTGAAGAAAAAATGTTGAAAGTAGTCAATCAGACTCGTGTTTTGGAGATGGGAATTACAGTGACTAAACTTTGAAAGTTGATCAAGGATTCTGAAATTCCTTGCTAAATCATTTGACTAATTTATTTTCATTACTTTTCTGGATCGTACCTTCGTGCACTAATGGACCGTCATAGGAAGACGAAAGAAAAGTCGTTCGTTTGTTATACCCTTTTATTGCTAACTTTAAGAAAACGCAGGAGAATACATAGACGAGACATTTTTAAACTTGTTTCCAGAAGATCCAACAAAAAATGAGGATACACTATTTTTGTTTGAGAGAGAAAAAGAGCCCGTGTGAGCAGCCTACAGAAAACACGGGATAAGTTAGCAGCATTTTATATAAGGGTCCCCTGTAACTATCCCATTCTCTGAAATGTCTAGTTAACCAGACTTCTGTTGACCTTACAGTTTTGATCAGTATTTACAAAATTCTCTCAGTGATATAGAATATTATTGCTACTCAATACTTAAAAACTTCCCTTCTTATAAGGCTGGCATTTAAAAAGAGAAAAATGTAAAGATATTTTATAGATGCCAATGATTGAGAAGCGTGTGTATTAAAAGTTCCCATATGAGCAGCTGACAGCAAACATGCTGGAAGTCATTGCAGAGGTGACTGGTATTTTTATTTCCCCCAGCCATCACATAAAAATAACTTGTTTTAAAATCCATCTGGCAGGCTACTGAGTGAAGGTCTTAAGTATTCAATCGAGCTTACATTCATAAGAGAGGTGTTTAGAAATGCATTTAAAAAATATTAAAAAAAAAAAAAAATATTCATAAGTATGCTAGATCCTGAGTTTGTGGCAAAGCCGCTTTAGAGTCCGCCAATGGCATTAAAATCTTGAGAGCATTGTTTGATGAGTGGAGCCTCCACGGAGGGTAACTGCTACAGCAACAGTAGACAACCTACAACTATATCCCCCAACAATGTTCTCATCGTTTAAGGTTGCCTGTGTGTGTTTCTTCAACGCTGCAAACATTTGAATGAGCCCGGCTATCGAGTATAAAATTAACTACGGCTGATATCGAAGGTATTATACAGCTACCTATGTACAGTGCAAATTTAGATTATGTACATGTACTTCAAGACTCTTTTTAAATGAAGAAAAATAATCACCCACAAAAAAAAAATCAAAGACTCATACCCATGACGTTGATGTTTTTCACTGTAGTCCTTAACAATAGTGTAACATTTATAAAATATGTCTATTGAACAAAAAACGTCAACACTCCCAATGAACATTAAGTTCATCTCTTACATGGTACAGAGACTGATGAAGGAGATAACATGCCTCTCACAGATTGATGATGAGAGATGATGTATAACAAATGTGATGACGGATGATTGGTGGGAACAACTCCTCATGAAACACTTTTCATTACAAAATGAGAGTCGAATCTAGCTAGGATATCTTGAAGTCTTGGCATCCAACTGTGAATCAAAGTAGAACTAGTGACAAAAGCAAGACTAAATGATAAATTCTCTATAAATATGTCGACATTGAAGGCACTCATCTGAATGGTTTAGCTATTCCGACTTTTGATTCTACATCAATTAGGCAAACCATTGACTAGCCTTATTGTACTCCATATATTCTTGACTAGAAACTGACTAAGGGCCCTTTGTGGAAGGGATGAGGTGGTGGAACGCACATCAACCACAGTGGTCAGGATGAGGTGGTAGTGCCGGCGATGGCAGAAGCCACTGCCACGTTGGCAGGGGCGAGGTGGCGGCACGCAGTATATTCAAGGGTAGTACACCTACGGGTAGTATACCCATGGGTAGTATACCCACGGTCGTGAGAATGAGGTGGTAATGGCATATTATACCACCACGTTCGTGTGTGAAGTGTCGCTGGCACGCTACTTTACCACAGTGCCACAGATTACAACGTTTTCATGGAACACAAGAGCACAACCACTGTGGCAAGGATGAGGTGGTGATGGCACACAGTACAATCACGAAAACAAAATCCACGTTCTGCTGAAACAAAACACTTAAAAATAAACATACAAGGAATGAGGGTGGACTTTGTTGTATGACTAACAAAATATTGTAGGCGCAGTCAGGTTTTGCGGGAGATATGGAGGAGTTACGAGCCTGCGGGAAATGAGGACACGTAGCCAGGCGTGTCTTTAGCTAACAGTAGCCACAGATGTGGCACCTCCAGAATATCCTGACATAAAGCCATTTTTGGCTAAAGACGCCGCCGTCACAATACAAGCTACGAATGTGGTCAAACATCGTAGTAACACGAGCATCACCATGACAAAATTGTAGTTTGTGCAAAGATGAAACAAAGGTGTAGCATCTTCTATGTGAGGAATGCTCGTGAGTCACTCTCACAAAATGCCAGGCGTCCTTATGGAGCTCTGGGAGCTTCCGTGCCAACCGACCAAGAGACGTGACGGCCGGGTTGCTAACGATGGTGGCCTGGAGTGATTCTGGTGGTAGCAGCGATGGTAGTGGTGGTAGTGGACGACGTCACAGTCACTCACACGTTCATGGGAGGGGGGTACTGGACGCCTGGCGGTGAGTGGCAAGGCTCTTCATCCATCGCCGCCTCACAACAAACAAGGGTTCAAAGCTTCAGGCTGCGATTCGACGCGGAATCCAAACGCCTCTGTGGGTCGCCCTGTTACCGCGGCATAATTACAACCTAAAGTCACGACTGGACATTTAATCTGCGAGGGAGGGGATGATTTTGTAAGCCTCGAGGGTTGAAATGAGAACGTAGAATATCCAGAGGAATATGAGGAATACTGTTGTAGCTATCTTGGATATCTTGGGACCGCCCAGTTCACCGCCAATGCTCCTGTGTCGCCGAGCCATCATCAGGGCGATGGCCACCAGCGCCTCCACGCAGAACAACGTCACGGAGAAAGCCAGGCTGCAAAGAATGTGTGTTGTAAAAGTGGTATTACATGTTATTCAGTACACTTGTTCACAAATAAGCACAACCACACATACACCTAACCTTTCATATGCATAGCAACACTTCCATCTTTTTCTCTCTGTCTCTCTCTGTCTCTCACTCTCACACACATCGTGTTCACAATATATATATATATATATATATATATATATATATATATATATATATATATATATATATATATATATATATATATATATTATGCAAGGAATTCGCAATAGCAGGCGAAATATACACAAACACTGATATATATATTATACGTAGCTGAAATGAAAGGTATTGAAATAACTGATGAGGAAATAAAGTAATTATTACTTAATGCTGACTAAAAGGCAATAAGTCCACACAGGACAGCATCATCGAGGGGTTTTAAAAGAATGCTCAGAAGAATTATGTTATAAGTTTAAAAAAAAAAAATCGGATTTCGCTACGAGAAAGTAAACTGTCAGCCAAATGTAAGATGTCACACACTTTGCCAGTATTTAAAACTGGTGGAGGGAAGACTCTCTGATTTACAATCCTGTTTCATTAACAGGTAGTGTTGTATACATACTGAAATGAAAAACATTTGTGAAAGGTTGAGTAATCACTTAGAGAAAATAAATTCTACTAATTGAAGTCTGTTTTCGGTCTGCAATTCGAGTGTTATATATCAAATCTATTAAGTTATTATGACAGAATTACGTAAATTATTCAAGAAAAATGAATGAGTGGATCATATTTTGTAGACTTTAAGAAAACTTTTGATAGAGTTCCTCATAAGCTAATTTAAGAACTCCTAAATATAGGGGATAGCGGATACTCTCCCAAGAAATATGTAGGGGATACAGAAAGAAACCTTTCAGTACTCCTGAACGAATACCGAAACGCCAGCAACAGGGACACCAGTGTTCACAGGAACTCCACGGGACATTCGACAAATTGAAATGTATCACAACTCGTCCTCGCGAAACAAGATCTTAGATACCGACGATATCTTGAAGCCTCGCTAGTCGCCGTCACCGACACCATACAACATAATATAGAGCGCTACAAAATTTCAAAAACATTGCCATATTTGATACTCAACCAGGCAAAACACCTACACAACAACATAAGAATCACATGGCCTCATTGTCTGCCTGATCCATCTCAAATATATCAGTTTTCAGGTCACTGTGTCCCCTCAACGAAGGTTCCTTGATGCTGGTGAGGAACTCTTGATCTAGGGAATTGGATCTGCGCTTCAGTTCCCCGAATTAAACCTGAATACCTTCCACATCCCCTCCCCAACAGGCACTGTATAATCTTACGGGTTTAGCGCTTCCCTCTTGATTATAATAATTAACAATGCTCTGTGTCACACCGCGTCTCCACCTATATAAACACAGCTATTATTAAACTGTGTGTGTGTGTGTGTGTGTGTGTGTGTGTGTGTGTGTGTGTGTGTAAGAAGTGATCAAGGTCTCAGGATCGAAACGTATTCTAATATGTCCTAGTGTTTGCTCACGAGTCTTTTTAAACCAATTTGTCGGTATCAGTTACCAGGGTTAATACCATGTAAAAAACACTATGTAGAATAATGATAAACACTGAGGCTACATTTGCTTTCTCCTTAAATTCTGTAAAATGTCCCGTACCCTGTACCCACTTATTGTAGATTTTAGCTAAAGGTTTGTACAATATCTCTGCACACTCTAGTGAATCCATGGTAATACTTCGATGTGTCAAGCTCACTCAAAACTGTATTCATTTCTTCCCCCTGAGTGTGTATGGTGTCCAGTACCTAGTGTCCAGTACCTAGTGTCCAGTGTCTAGTGTTATCCTTGTTTCCACTGAAAACTCTTCCTTAAATCGTATCGTTTGTTCAGGTCCTCATTGACTTCATTTCCGTTTCACTTGATATTTTTTTCTTTTTACGGTTTTATTACTTGGGTTTTTAATACTTTTTTATTTTTTTAATGGGCTGTGTAGCATCTCTCGCTTCGGATTTGTAAATATCTTGGTTTATCTTGTTCCATCACTTTGGTCCATTTCTTGGTCCTACCATTTCTGGTCCCGTAAGTGATTCCCAGTACTCCAAGTCGCGTTTTTTTGTGATTGAAATGATCCATGATTACTAGCATAACATTGGTCACGTGGGCGCCGATCATTGCTCCTCTCATGGTGTCCTCCATTGCTTTGTCTTCTCATTTATGTCTTCGTCTCTTTTTTTTCGGTGGCGAGTTGCAGATCTGTGTGTGTACTCACCTAATTGTTCTCACTTAATTGTGGTTGCAGGAGTCCAGACTCAGCTCCTGGCCCCGCCTCTTTACTGAGTGTTACTAGGTCCTCTCTCCCTGCTCCATGAGCTTTATCATACCTCATCTTAAAGCTGTGTGTGGTTCCTGCCTCCACTACCTCACTTGCTAGGGTATTCCACTTCCTGACTATGAAGAAATATTTCCTAACACCCCTTTGACTCATCTGGGTATTCAACTTCAAATTGTGACCCCTTGTTTGTGTGTCCCATCTCTGGAACAACCTGTCTCTGTCCACCTTGTCTATTCCACGCAGTATTTTATATGTCGTTATCATGTCTCCCTTAACCCTCCTGTCCTCCATATTGTGTGTGTGTGTGTGTGTGTATGTGTGTGATTGAGTGAGTGAGTGAGTTGCCACGTGAAAACTCTCATGAGTTCGAGCCCATCCATACTGTACTTCATCCAGTATGGCAGCTATACTGCACTTCATACACGTAGTCATACTGTAATTCATACAAGCAGCCATAATATACGACTGGTTATATTAACTATACATACAATACACGTTGTCATACAATTATTCAATGCGTTTTTATAATTTCTCACAGAACATCAATGAGACAGATGATGCTTCAAGTGCTCATCAATGAACTCAATGTACTCGCTCATCAAGTGCTCATCAATGAGCACTTGAGTGGCGTTCTCTGAATGATACTCACTTGCCAGGAAGAACATGGAAGTCATTGCCCTTAACGTTGTGGAATATGGCAGCCATGGTCCACGCAATACCAATACCCAGGAAGACGTTGACAGCGTTGGAGCCGGTAACATTGCCCACTGAGGCGTCAGCGTAGGGGTCCTGTTGGGCAGCCACTTTGGAGGCGAAGGTATCTGGGGGGATCAGTCACCTCTGTTATCCTCTCTTCCAGTATATAATCTTTGCGTTATATGGACATGAAAACTGAATATTGCATTAACTACAGCAAGTATTTCTAACGTGTATTCATTTTATTGTGAATAATCATTTAAACTGTGAATACATGAAATTGAAAAGCACCATGATGATTTTTCAAGCCCACAGGAAATGAATAAATACATAATGAAAGTGTAGAAGCCTTCAATAAGGTGAAGACTGGCATGCAGCTAGTAAGATACAGGCAGTAACAATACAGGAAACTGTACTAGCGCATGGCAGGTGCCTCCATTAAAGCCATTGTCTCTAACTTACTAAAGCACAACTGAAAGGAATGTTTCCACAAAGATACCCAAGTGTTGCACAGGTGTTGCACAAGTATTGCACAAGTGTTGCAGACGTGTCGTCTCCATCAACCTGTCAGTACTGTTTACCTACAATGTAAGTGGATTTTTTTCAAGGCTGGGAAGATCTTCTTTATTGTATTTATAAATATAGTATATACCGACTGTAATTTCGGAGAGAGTTGTTACAATTCTGATTTGTGTGATTTTTATACTTGTGATTTGTGTGATTTTTCTTTGCAAAACTATTGTGATTTGTGGTAATTTCTCTGGAAAATTCAAAATTAAATTTTGTGCAAAGCCACCAGTATAATTTTGAGTTCTTAAATACTACAATTAATTTTTAGCACCCTGTCAAGGGTAGTGGTGGGTTGAAGGTACCCTGCCAAAGTGATGGTTTGTGAGGGGTGAGTGCCCTGTCAGTGTATTAGGGAGCATATATCACCTGTCAGTGTATTAGGGAGCATGTATCTCCTGTCAGTGTATTAGGGAGCATATATCTCCTGTCAGTGTATTAATGAGCATATATCACCTGTTAGTGTATTAGGGAGCATATATCACCTGTTAGTGTATTAGGGAGCATATATCACCTGTCAGTGTATTAGGGAGCATATATCACCTGTCAGTGTATTAGGGAGCATATATCTCCTGTCAGTGTATTAGGGAGCATATATCTCCTGTCAGTGTATTAATGAGCATATATCACCTGTTAGTGTATTAGGGAGCATATATCACCTGTTAGTGTATTAGGGAGCATATATCACCTGTCAGTGTATTAGGGAGCATATATCACCTGTCAGTGTATTAATGAGCATATATCACCTGTTAGTGTATTAGGGAGCATATATCACCTGTTAGTGTATTAGGGAGCATATATCACCTGTCAGTGTATTAGGGAGCATATATCACCTGTCAGTGTATTAGGGAGCATATATCTCCTGTCAGTGTATTAGGGAGCATATATCTCCTGTCAGTGTATTAATGAGCATATATCACCTGTTAGTGTATTAGGGAGCATATATCACCTGTTAGTGTATTAGGGAGCATATATCACCTGTCAGTGTATTAGGGAGCATATATCACCTGTCAGTGTATTAGGGAGCATATATCTCCTGTCAGTGTATTAGGGAGCATATATCTCCTGTCAGTGTATTAATGAGCATATATCACCTGTCAGTGTATTAGGGAGCATATATCACCTGTTAGTGTTGTATTATTAGGGAGCATATATCACCTGTCAGTGTATTAGGGAGCATATATCACCTGTCAGTGTATTAGGGAGCATATATCTCCTGTCAGTGTATTAGGGAGCATATATCTCCTGTCAGTGTATTAGGGAGCATATATCACCTGTCAGTGTATTAGGGAGCATATATCACCTGTTAGTGTATTAGGGAGCATATATCACCTGTCAGTGTATTAGGGAGCATATATCACCTGTCAGTGTATTAGGGAGCATATATCACCTGTAGTGTATTAGGGAGCATATATCTACCTGTTAGTGTATTAGGGAGCATATATCCCTGTCAGTGTATTAGGGAGCATATATCACCTGTTAGTGTATTAGGGAGCATATATCACCTGTTAGTGTATTAGGGAGCATATATCACCTGTTAGTGTATTAGGGAGCATATATCACCTGTTAGTGTATTAGGGAGCATATATCACCTGTTAGTGTATTAGGGAGCATATATCACCTGTTAGTGTATTAGGGAGCATATATCACCTGTTAGTGTATTAGGGAGCATATATCACTTGTCAGTGCATAATGTCTGTTTAAAATATTGATGCTGATATATGAACAGTACAATTATCAATGAATTTATTGAAGATGGAGGACTTTAATCCCGGCTAAATGGGAATCTTGAGACTTTGGCTGTGATTGGTGGCACCTGCTTTGGCACTTTGTATGTAAGTTATTCTCTGCTACAGGTAGTCGGGGAGGAGGGACAAAAGGGATTACCTGGCACGCTAGTTCCGAGAGCCACAATGGATATAGCCGTCACGGAGTCTTTAAGGCTGATTGTGCAGCCAAAATGAATGGCCACATCGCCGATTAATGCAGTCAAAAATCCAATCGCTGCTATAGAGATTACAAAACACGACCATCCACCTTGTCGGTCTGTAAGGTTGATGTTAGCAGGAAGTTAAAGGAGCATAGTACGGAGTGGTGGTGGTAGCAGCAGGTGAGGGCTCGATACACCCAGCGTGGATGGCCCTAGGCTCTATCATATAAACATCAAAGACAACGTATCAGCAAACTTCATGATAGCTGAACTTGGTAAGCATGAGATTATTTATGCGATATAGCTTAGAACCATCAACATCGTGGATGTATATTATTAGTAAGACCATTAGTAATAAAGAAATTAATAATGGATGCTTAGGCACTGGGCGGCAAGCAGCACCTATTAAGGATAGTACACGGTGGCATTAGTGCTTGTTGTAATAGCTTAGCACTCTAGTGTAGCTCAGTAATGTCTGCATATAATTAAAAAAAAATAGGTCGTGAGAGAAGCAGTACGCAGAGACACGAGGTGAGAGGCAGGTTAAGGCTGGAACTTACAGATTTTCCGCGTAGAAATCGCAAGAAAATCTTTTGAGGTGTAACCAAAATGTAAAAAAAACTGGGTAGAACTTACTCAAAGGAGAGGAAGGAAAAACTAAATAACATAAAGGCAATCAAAACTCCATTACACAAACCTTACAGCTTCGTGAAGAAACACGGTATTTGAATACGCTTTGGCGAAAGAAATATTACTAATATTACAGGATAAAAGTGGATTATGTGGAGTGTGGTGTGTATAAATGACCTTAGGATCTAATGTTCGGTTCTAAGTAACAGGAAATGCGCATACGCTGTACGCTGGAGGTGAAGCGCTAAACCCCTACCTGGTATGAAGACAAAGACATGTTTCATAACAATCTTTTATTGAAACAACGTTTAGTCCTGTGTAAAGCTTTATCGTGTCCTGATTGCATGACAAAATGCTATATAGGGCGAAATGTTGTCCAGATTAAAGTTTGCTTTGCACATTGTTTCTCTGCCTTCATACTTGTCGACAATGAACCATCTCATCTCTCTACGTGGGGGTGGTGGTTGTGGTGGTGGTTGTGGTTGTGGTGGCGGTGGTGGTGGCGGTGGTGGCGGCTGCTGGAGTACCTGGCATGGAGGTCCCGAGAGCTACAAAAGTCGTAGCGGTGACTGAGTCTTTGAGGTAGATGGTACAGCCTACATGACTCGCAACGTCGCCAATCAAGGCAGTCAGGATTCCCACCGCAGTTATTGCTACGAAGAAGCAGGGGTACCCGCCACCCATGGCTATATAATCCGTGGTAGTTGAAAATACGTTGTTAGATGGCGTGGGCATGCATCAAGAAGGAAATGCAAAATGGCGGGTAAATTATCAGGTATTTTATGGGGGTGGGAAGGGAGGAATCAACTAAAAACACCAACCAGTTGCCTCACACGTTATTGCACACGCCACACGAAAATCATACACCACGAATAGCAATGTTTCATTAAAAGAATTTTATCAGCAAAAATACTACATTATAACAGAGCATAAACACAACACTCTGTATCCACGCTCACAAAACGTGCTGTTTGAAGTCAAAACTTACACTCCATTAAATGTTTCAGACATGCACGAGATTGCTGCTATCATGCCGTAAGCATAGTATATACACAAGCGCTAGTCCTATTAAACAGATATATTAGGAGTCAGTCAACCCAGGGCATAGAGAGGACTGGTGATCAGACTAAAGTAGGTACAATGAATGTAAATATAATTTTTAACTATTATATTTTTGAAAGAGTATTCAGATTTCTATGTAACACGTAACTAACCAGAGAAAGAGACTAGCCATTAACATTTCTCCATCAACGGTCCTTGAACGTGTTGAAAAGTTTAGTGCGGACGTACTACCAGAGATCTAGGGTCAATAATCTATTACAAGTAGATTACAACCATGGAAACATCGAACATGGCTCTACAGATATTGATCACAGTTTCACTAAATGTTATTCTAATAATGTCAAGTCAAGTTTCCGGAGGATATGTAACTTAATCTCACAACGAAATACAGGAAAAGCTTTAGAACACAAACTTCTCAAATAGCTGAAATGTTGGTAAGAATCCTCTGGGAAACTGACCGAAAACTACAACCTGTGTCTCCCACGTTACCTGGAACACTCGTGCCCAGAGCAACAAAGCCAATAGCAGTTACTGTGTCCTTAAGTCCTATTGTGCAGCCCACGTGGGAAGCCATGTCACCTATAACCGCAGTGACCACGCCAATGGCAAATATGCTGACAATGAAAGTCGGGTAGCCCATCAGGAAGTCTGAATTCGATAAAGGATGTAATTAGACTAATCACATAGCACCCTTGAGTTAAAATATCATTCACACACAAAAACAGACCTGGCGAAGTCAGCTACGAGTTGTGAATAAGTGCTTGTGAGAACATTAATTCAGCAAAGAGCAGAAATTAGCTGTAGATGGTTTCAGGAGATAATAAAGACGGCCATACGAATCTATTAAAAGTTAGTGTTTCGAGTTAACTGCAATTTAGTAGAATTAACTAAATTATTCACTAACAATAGTTGCTAAGTTTTGATTCATTGCCATTA